CTTTTGGTCAATAAATTTGACACTGTAATTCTGCAGTTATTATACTTGAATCTCTTGTTTCTTGCTGTTTGAATAAGTATGAGAAGCTTGGTAGAATATGTGGGGGACTTGAATAGCCATTAAATGATTAATAATTTAAAATGAAAAATAAAGCTTTTGACAATTTCATGTGTGAAATTATAGACTTGTATTTTGATGTTATTCAGGATTGCTTTAAAAGTCATGATTCATTTCTATACTCTTTTGGCACCAGTCAAATGTGTTCCAGTGGGTTTTCTAAGGTAACTTGTTCCTTTTGGGGAGCAACCAGTGTGAATATCTGGCTGTAGACCATTAAAGTTCTTCAGTAGCATTTCATGAATAAAACCTCTTGGTTTATCTTGATTGGATTTTGCATGGATGGTGTCAAAGGAAATGGGTGTGATAGTGCCTATAAATTCATCTTTGATTCAGGTTCGCTTTTTCATTAGGAAAAAATGAATAAAATATTCTATGAGATATATTTTGCCACAAATGTACAAATAGTACTTCAATACTACTTCCTATTGTGAACTGCTGCATCAGTTAGGTAGATGTGTTCCTGAGGAGGCTTCGTTAGAGCCAGCTTATATAATCAATCTCCATTTTTTTTCTTTTTAGGAGAGACAATCCAAAAATGGTGGGGCTTCAACTAGAGCACTGTATAGGAACTAGTTTATCTAGATCCATTTCAGCTGAGTTAATACTTGGTGTATGTGTTAAATATTCTTTTTAAAACCATATTCAATTAGATTGACCCAAACTCAAGAAATATTTAAAAAAAGTGCCAGACTTTTGATGTGTAAGACAAGTATATGTGTACTTCCTATTACCTCTATTCCATATTTTTATCTCTTGCTATTGTTTCTATATTATTACCATATATTATTCTATATTATTACAATTATATCTGTACAAGCATTCTACTTCTATTATCTCTGTACTATTACAATTGTTTCTATACTTTATTATTACTACTTATACATAGATAATTATCTATCTTTAAGAATGGTCAATACTCCAACTTAGGAGAACTCTATTAGGGTTCTTACACTGAAGGAGAAATTGCATGTTTCCTTTTGTTGTTGGTTCTTTACTTGAATGTTATTTTATACATCTCTCTCTCTCTCTCTCTCTCTCTCTCTCTCTCTCTCTCCCTCTCTCTCTCTCTCTCATTTAATCACAAAAAATTAAAAGTTTATCTCATGATAAAATTGCATAAGCAGCTAGGATAGATTTTGCTTCTTTTTAAAGAGATAGTAACTACTGCAAAGCTGTTCTTATGTATACAATTAAAGACTGATTGCTTAATTTATTTAAGAATAACCAGTAATTGCATTTTTATGTGAATTATCACCTTTTTATTTCCTTTTTCCCCTCACTCTGATTTGTGAAAAATAAATGAGCAGGGTTATGGAATGTTCAGGTATCTACAGTATCATAGAAGGTCAAGATAAGTTCTCTACCATTTTAAAGACAGACCGCAGTATAATGGTCATAATTTGGAAAACTAAAATTCTGATTAAATGTTAGAGGAAAAATTCTTAATATAAAGTCAATTCAGTCCTGGAACCAACTGCAATGCAAAGAGTGGGTTGCCTTTCATTGGGTGTGTTCAGGAAGAAGTCATAGTACTATCTCTTGAGATTGCTTTCATTTCAACTCCTGTACTCAACTGTGGACTAGATAGCCTCTATAGCCTAAATATTCTTCTACAACTCTAAGCTTGTATAATTAATTGCAGACAAAGGCTTTGCTTAACAACCATAGTATTCACTTAACAACATGGCGATTTGGTTAATGACCACATCAATAAATATCATAAAATCAGGTCAGTCATGTGATGATCCTCTTAATGACTGGCATGAATCAGAAGCATAATTCTGGTCTAAATTATAAGTTGAGGACTACCTGTGTAGAGATAGTTTGTGAATCATCTTGAATATCTGAATGAATTGAGACCCAAAATGAACTATTCGAATGTCAGCTACTGTAATGGTTGGTGAGAATAATTTTGGGGAATAGAAGGAACCATCCAAAACCAAGACTAAGAAATATAAGTCTGAAGCCAAAAGTTCATTTGAGAAAATATTGCAGATTTTGCCCTCCCAAGTTCTCTTACAAATAAAGGCAATTGGGGTGGGGGGGGAAGAGAAGTACTTGCAGACTTTCGAGATGGATGTCAATTCCTTAAGACAGAACAGATCTGTAAACCAAAGGGATGGATGCTAACACTATTTTTCCTATAGGGTTACAATAATAGAAGCTTGTCTTTATTGCTGGTGGTATAAGGTAACAGAATTTTGAAATCTTACCAAAGTTAATCTATTTTAATTAATCCCTATTGTAATTAATATGTGGTATTATTCCAAGTTTCTATCTCAGGTTTTCCCATCTTCCCTGGTGTCAGAGAAGCTTTTCTGTAATAGCTCTGCTTCCTTCTCAAATGGTCGTGCTTTTTTGTCCATTTTCACAGGATCTGTTAGACATCCTATCACAATCTTCCATGGTTGATGATGTTCCTTAAATACACTATACTGATCCTCACAGCTTCCAGAAGTAAATACCCTGAACTGGAGGTGGTTTGTGCTGTCCTGGGCATAAAAGAGAATGGAATATTGTAGACCATTCTGGACATTTAATGTTGTTAGGATGTTGGTTTAGAAACCAAGAGCCTTTGAGTTCTAATCCCACTGTAGGAATGAAAGATGGAAAGTTGAAGTTACTTACAAAATATTGAAGGCAAGATCAAATTAAATAAACATTCCACTAAGGATATCAGTGAGATTGCATATTTTTAGGACCAAGGTCAAAAGAAGGTAAAAACACTTGCCTTTTTTGCTGAGAAACATAGGAATGTCTGCTAGTCAATCTAGAGATCTAGGCATTCTGATGTGTTGTCAGAGGTCAAGTGCCACGACATAGGGAGAACAGCTATGAGAGTCCCCCATAGCTACTGCTGAGCATGGTAGAGTACAAGCAACTTATTGGCTTTGCTTGTAGGAAGATAGAAGGAAGGTTGCAAATGGTGATTGTCAACTTGGGACTGCTGGAACAGCCAGAACTTTAGGACCAGTCGTAAGTACCACTGCTGTGATTTTAAACAGTTGCTGAAGAAGTGGTCATTAAATGAGGATTATCTATAATTGTAGACTTCATTAAGAACTAACATATGATAGCATAGAATAAAACTGACACATAGTAGACTGAAAAGAAAAGAAGTGCAATAAAGCAACAATATGCATACCATCTAAAATTAAGACTGAGTAAAATTGAGTCTGAATTTGAATAAAATTGAGATTTTATTGCCGATTTTTTTCCCCAACAAGATTTTTCTTGCTTCCAAAGTAAAGGGAAAAACTTGCTTTGGTAGAAAACAATTTTAAAAAATCAAAACCTTTACATCAATTCTTCTCTATTCATTGCATCTATAAGACTCTCTGTATGTTTCTTTGATTGGTTCCC